GCCACTGTGCATATGAAGATACTGAAAGGCAAAGTGGATTATTTAGAATCTTATAATTAGGAATTGGCGAGTAGGAGTCTCAAAACTGCTATGCTGTGCAGATTTCTATATCAGTACTAAGAAAGGAAGCAAAGTAACTTAATCCGCCATCTTGTAGAGCTAGGCATTGGGCCAGCTCTTTCCCACATTTTACCTTCTTAACGTTAAGGCAGGTGTGTGCCAGGTGGTGGATGGCTTCCAGGCTCCTTCTGAGTCCACTTGTGTGACTCTTTCTTGTCATTCAAGTTTCAGCTCAAATATACTTATCTCGAAGAAGCTTCCGGAGACATCTCCAATCTTCCATATGTTTTACATTTTAGGACTTCTCAACCTACCAGAAATTTTTTTTTTACATATTTGCCTCCTTTTCTACATTGTGAGTCTCCATGGAACAGAGACTGTTTATAATTCTAGCAGCTGGTGCTTAATAAATGTGAGTTGAAGAAATTAGAAGGGAAAAAGGTCAATTAAATGTTAGTGGCAGCACTATGTTAAATACCAAAATTAAGATTTTTTTCCCTACTTTTTCAGATTTACCATTCTCTCCCTCCATTCTTCATCTGAAGATAGTAAATGTATATGTCTATTTTTTTTTAAAAAATTGTAACACAATTCTTAATGAAAATGGAGTAATAGAATTTCTAAATTTCCAGTTGGTGGTGTATCCTGTTAGTTCCATCTTCCTCAAATGTAGCGATCTAATCAATGAAATCTCTCCCCTCTTCTCAGTTACTTCTAATACTGATGGAAGGTAAAAATACAGCTACACTACTCCTTCAGCTGTCTGTTCCCCTGTGTCTTTCCACATCACACTTCAACCATCCCACTTTACAACCACACAGTTGTTTTCTTCAGCTGGGGCAGTAGGCAGAAGAGTGAAGTCATGCATTTCTGGCGCTTCAGAGCCTAGTAATGTCTTGAAAAGTCCAAGAACAGAAAAGATCGTGGTGCCCCCTTCAATCATGTAGATAATTACAAATAAGAACAATTCTTAAGGCTAGTGAATTTTAGATATATTTTACAATAACCCAAAATAAAAAATCGTGCTTGCTTCTAAAACACATCCTTGGTTTGCCTACCAGGTGATCTTGGTTCACCTCTGCCCTCCTTTCCTGCTGTCTGGTTTCAGTGCCCTTGTCCTTTTGGCTCTAGCTATTCTGATGCTAGCCTTTTAAATAGCCATTCATCCCACTTTCTGTCATGACACCAATCCTACCAAAGCACCCCTCTGATGTGTGAGTCAGTGTGCAGCATATTTCTTGGCACAATTAGGTGTTTAATAAATGTATGGGAGAGTGATGTCACTCACTCCTGCAAAACTCCCTTTTTACTACTTTTACATCGCTCTGTATTCTGACTTCAATGTTCTTGTCTTATTTTCTATTGCTCCCTATTGGCTAGTTTTGCTCCTTCTAAACTAGCAGCTCTGTGTGCTATGGACACGTCCCATGCTGAGCTGTTTTACATGCATTCTCTCTTGTCTTTCTGGAGTGCTTTCTAATACTTTCTCTGTTGAATTTTGCCGTAAGTATCAAGGCACAGAGCTAACCCTTTCCTGCAGTGTTCCCTTCTTGCTGGGGAATCCAGTGACTCACCCCTCCCTCCCTTCCTCCCTCTCTCCCTCCCTTCCTTCCTTCCTTTGCAAAGATAATATATAAAGTTGCCATATACCCCCCTAAGTTTCCCTGTTGTTAACATCTTACTAATGCAACAATAAGCATGGATGTATAAATATTTCTTCAAGATCCTGCTTTCAATTCTTTGGGGTTCATACCCAGAAATAAAATGCTAGATGACATAGTAATTCTATTTTTAACTTTTCAAGGAATTCCCATACTGTTTTTCATAGTCGTTGTACCATTTTTCTTTCTACCAACATTGCATGAAAATTCCAATTTGCCTATATCCTTACTCAAACTAGCTATTGTCTGTGTGTAGGTGTGTGTGTGTGTGTGTGTGTGTGTGTGTGTGTGTGTTTGATAGTAGTCCTCTTAATGAACATGAGGTGGCATCTCATTGTAGCTTTGATTTGCATTTCCCTAATTATTAGTGATGTTGAATGTTTTCTATGTAGTTCTTAGCCATTTATATATCTTTTTGGAGAAAGATCTGTTCAAGTCCTTTGCCCATTTTAAAATCAATTTTTTTTAATATATTGTCAAGTTTTAGGGTCAGTTTACACATTCTGGATATTAATCCCCTGTCAGATATATCAATTGAAAACATTTTTTATTCATTCTGTGGAGTGCCTTTTTATATTGCTCATAGTGTCTTTTGATAAACAATTTTTAAAACTTTCCATGAAGTCCAGATTGTCAATTTTTTTTTTGTTACCTGTGCCTTTGGTGTCATATCTAAGAAATAACTGCCAAATTCAAATTCCTGATGCTTCTATCCTGTATTTTCTTCTAAGAATTATACTGTTTAGTTTTTATGTTTAGATCCTTTATATTGGTTTTCTGTTAGCTTTTATATATGGTGTTAGGTGAAGGTCCGACTTCATTTTTTTGCATTCGTACCTTTTTCATTTCTCTATGTGTATATTTTAATGACAGTGCCACACTCTTTTGATTACTATTGCTTTGTATTAAGTTTTAAAATGAGGAATCAGGAGTCCTCTACATTTGTTCTTTTCTTTCCCCCTCTTTTACATATCTTTATTGGTGTATTATATTTGTACAGAATGGTGGGAATCATTGTTACATATTCATACATGCACCTGATATAGCAATATAGTTTATCCAATATTATTCCCCAGTTTTTCCCCTGTCCTTAACCTCCTTCCTTCCTTTCCTCTAGCCTACTGATCTCCATTTAATTTTCCTCCACTCTACTGATCTCTCTTAACCTTTCTTTTCTTTTTTCCTCTCTAGCTTCCACATATGAGAAAAAAAATAGAGTATTTGACTTTCTGAGTTTGGATTATTTCACTTAACATGATTTTCTTGAGTCCCATTTGTTTTACTGCAAATGATGTATTTTTTTTCCTTATGGTTGAATAAAACATCATTGGGTGTATATACCATATTTTCTTTATCCATTTATCCATTGATAGTCACCTAAGCTACTTCTGCAGTTCGGCTATTGTGAATTGGACTGCCATAAACATGGTATGCATTTGTTCTTTTTTTTTTTTTCTAAGGTGGTTTTGTCTCTTCAAGGTCACTAGAGAATCCCTCCAAAGTAATTTATTTTAAATTTGTGCATGTCAAGTTTCACACTCATGCTGTTAATAAGATCCATGGGTTTTAATAACGTATAGTGTTACATGTCCACCAGACAGTGTCATACAGAACAGTTTCGCTGTCCTAAAAACACAATTCACTTCAGACACTTTCCACCATTTTCAAATTCCTGAAAACTACTCATTTGTTTGCTGTCCCCAATAGTTTTTTCCCCCCCATTTTAGTTATCTAGATAGAATCATGCAGTAGCTTTTTCTGAAAATCTGATTTTTCTTACAATATGAATTTAAGACTCATCCATATCTTTGCCTTTTTTGTCATTGCTCTTAAGTTTTTTAACTAATAATAGTATGGACGAGGGCTTTCTATTCCAAATTTTACAACCCATACCTTCATAGCCATCATCTGATACTATTTTCTCTCAGGTTGTCTGGTCACCCAGAACTTTTTTCTGCTCTTCCTACACAGCATTCAGTTGTTTTCTTAGTGTCATGAGCAATTTAGTCCTCTCTCCTAACTTGTATATGCTGAGCAACAAACACAACAGGGCTTTTTTTAGCATTTCAGGTTCCACCCGTCATTTTTTAGACTTTTACCTTCCATATGCTGGTGTTAAATCTTCTTTACGGTTCCAGTCAACATTCTTCTCTTCCAATATCCTAATTTCACTTCTATTTATACAGTCTTTTAATGTGTGACTCGTATCTTCATCTCTGTATTCTACAGCAATCCTGGGCCTATCCCCTTGTAGATATTCGATAAGTACTCATTGAATTGACAAATAGTCAGTATGGTGTTATGTAAGAGTCAGATTGCATACAAACCAACATAACTTGAAGTGCACACTATATTCAATGCTATATTCCATCCACTTGCATGTATATTTGTTTCCTATGCTCTCACATTTAAAAAAAATATATATTTGAAGGTCACTTCTAAAAAACGACCTGAAATCTGAGATGCATTCAATTTATGAAGAACACATGGTGTTTATACAAGCATTTCCAAATAGTACTATGCTAGTGAACCTTGATAATGTATGTCAGAGGTTTTTGGCATTAGCCCAGAACATCAGCATTACTATAAACAGTTGAAATATATTGTATGAAATTTATTTTCTCATAAAATGTTGCATGGTCAGATCATGGAGTTGGCTAGCCAGAGTAGAATCATTATCATGCATATTATTGGTAAAAGGAGCTGATATGTTCATATATTAAGGGATTCACTTAAAAATCCTTAATGTTAGTATAAAATTTAAATACTGAGATCTAAGAAAATAAAATCACTTTCTCCCTTTAATGCTTTTGAAGTTTCAAGTCCAGTGGGCATCAACCAGTATCATGCATGTTCCTTTGATTTTTTAAAAAAAATATAGATATGGTAATGCAAATTTTATTTTTCTTCCATAGGAATCCACATCCAAACTGATTTGAGCATATCACCCTCCCTCCCCACAACACACACACTTTTTAAACATGCAGGATTAGAAAAAGACAAAAAAGGAAAAAGTCAATATTCAGAAAACAATACTGTGTTGATTTTAATTTAACATCTGCCCAGTTTAAATGCACACTGTACCCAATAACATTTGGAAAGTCTTGAAACCTAGTAATGTTCTCAAGAAAACCCAACATATTGAATTAAAATTTAAGAAACCCATTACACGTCAATTCTATGTAAAATGAAAATGAAAATGTGTCAGATATTCTTTCCTTTAGGTGCCTTGAGAACTTTCACCTGAACTCTCCTCTGACTGTTTCTTTGTCCTCTTAGGTGGCCATGTTTGTGTTACAGCTGGGCAGTGCCACATTCCTGCTTACGGAGCCTGTGATCAGTGCCATGACCACTGGGGCTGCCACCCATGTTGTGACTTCGCAAGTCAAGTATCTTTTGGGAATAAAAATGCCATATATATCTGGACCACTTGGATTCTTTTATGTGAGTGTTCCAAATGTCTGTGTTCATATATATGGACTGTGTATTTTTTCATGAAGAAGAATTTAGTTAATTACAGTACTGAAAATTTTCTATTTTATAGTAACTTGGGTTTAAATAGAATCTTGCCGAATATTTTAAATATGATTTATTGTGTGAAAGTACCTTAATCTGTAATATTTACCAGTTCTGGAAACAATTGAATGTGATATAATTTGGGGGCTCAATGAAAAAAAATAGCTTGGACATTTTTACATGTGTGTGTGAAGCAGATATGCTGCCAACTTCTAATGGAAGCCATCTTACCAGGGTTGTGGCCCAGTTTAACACCAGTGCACTGTACCACAGTCTCTCAGGATTGTGAACCCCAGAAGGGATCAAAACAGAGGCCTGCTCAAAACTAGTGACTGTAGACCCAATAGCCAACAACCAGCTATTCAAAGCCATCTGAACCCGAGAGAGAACATCTGCCCAGTTTCAAGACATTGCCATAACATAACATTCTCCTTTGCTCTTGATTTCTTTTTAAAGTTGACCTAAAATCTGTGACTCCTTGCATTCAATTGGAGCTTTATAAAAAGAAAAATGTCCTGATGATTTTTTTATAATGATCTTTTTTTTTAATTTGTCTATGTTGATCTTTTTTTTTAATTGATTGTTCAAAACATTACAGAGCTCATAATATATCATCTTTCATACATTTGACTCAATTGGGTTTTGAACTCCCATTTTTACCCCAAATACAAATTGCAGAATCACATCTGTTACATACTCACATTTTTACATAATGGCATATTAGTGACTTTTGTATTCTGCTACCTCTCCTATCCCCTACTATCCCCCCTCCCCTCCCCTCCCCTCCCATCTTGATGATTAATTTAATAGTGAGCAACTTTCATTTTCCTTAACTTTATACATTGCTGTAAACTTAATGACATTAATGTTTTATAACAAGAATATTGCCGTCAAACTTTTTAAATCTGTATGGTTGAACAGTAGCTTGATACATGGAAGTACAATTACTTACTGATATAATTAGTGTTATTGAGGTGTTTTTTGGTGTTACCCTATTTGGTTCTAGGAGGATTCTATTTGTATATTCTTTCTGTGTCACTGATTATGAGGATAAGTTCCTCTTAATAGAGTTAACCGACCAAAAGGATATAATATCTTTTTTTTTGTCAAATTTCAATCTGAAAAGTTGCCCAGATTATTAATTTACTCTGACTTTATTATTGTCAACTCTGATGACTTCTATTTAAAAAAAATCTCCAGTTTTAATAAGTGAAAAAATGATGTCAACTGATTAGGTGGTTAAATAGTTAAGAATGATAGTAATTGGCAGCACAGAATTGGAAACCAATTATAAAATTTTGTAACTTAGGTAATATCTGGATCAATGATTCATTCATAATAAGAAAGCTTAAAACCAAAACAGGGAAACTGGAACTGGGCCTGGAAGCAGCATAATTTCAAGCTTCAGCTCAAACAAAAACAGACCAAAGTAGCTGTAAGCTGTCAGATGACTGGCTGAGAGTTAAGACTTTCACTGGCACCATTTCTATGAGACAGAAGAAAATCAGTGAAGATTCTCTCTTGACCTGTCTGGAAACAATGTATTTGCCTGTGCATGTGCATTGTAGAAAATGCCGGCAGGTTATAGCTTTGTCTCATTAGTCATATATACAGATAGTGATCTTTCTTTTCACAAATAGTGTTAAAGAAGCAGGGTAGCCTGATATGGGAATGACGTCTCTTTTTTTTGTTAGCTTGTTTCTATTATGACACTGTATATGACTGTTATATGAAAATGTTTTGTGTTAGTTTTTTTTTCATTTTGTTTTCCAGTGAAGTAGATTGGAAGTTATTTTATTTTGATATTATAGGTCCAATATTATATGACTTTGGGAAATCTTTTGTGTGACTTCACACTCAAACTAAATCAAATTTAAGAATAATTTTATACTCCTGACTTTAAATTCACATTGCTATTCGTATAAGTGACTGTGTTTTGTGCTGATGAAAAAAAAAATGCAAAAATGTTGCTCTTTCTTCTCAGTTGCAGATCCCTGCACTGTTCAGCTGTTAGATAGGAATGGGGCTTTGTTTTTCGCCACTGTCAGTAGATGCTGGTTTTGCAATGTCAAAAATTGTGGTGAACTTTAGATTGAAAAAAAAAATTTTACATCATACATAATTTACACGGGGATATAAAATGAGCTCTGGTATAGTTACATTATCAGTAAATCAAAACTTTCTCCTGAACAGTTTAGGTGGTACCTGAAGGAGTAGTGCTGAACTCAGCATGTAGCTATAGGGCAGAGGACATCATAGAGGTCTTGATCATCAAGTCCAAGGCTCTAGAGAAGAGTAACACAGTTGGGGGAATTTTCACCTTTTTTGTATTTTGATTATGCATCTTGCTTCTGCAGTTTGACCCTCTGAAAAGCTATTTTTCCCCTCTGAAAGCTATTCAGGCCAATGAGAGATTAAGAACATATAACTGATATTTCTTGGAGCAGAAGTTACTATCTAGACTAATACTCTTGCACAACGAGTCCATCACAAATCTTAGTAATCTCGGTAGGACAGTCCTCTTTTGTCAAATGAATTCAGGTTCTGTCAACCAAAGTGCTCATTAACTAATTCTGGTAGCAGCCATCATTCTGTCAACATAGAGAAAACATGACTTTCTGCATTCTTTCTGTTGCCAGATTGGGGCCTGCAGGTTGGGATTGCTTCCTTCTGCTACTGTGATGGTTTCTACAGTGTCTTCTTTCTGGGGGATCCTTAATTCGAGGCTATGAAGAGAATTCAGTTCTCTGCTTTGAATATGTCAAATTTCCATCCATTTAGTTGTTCTGGGCTGACAGATGTGTTTGTCTTGGTGGAACATTTTTAGGGAGCAATTTAAATCAGATACAGGAAGTTGTGTAGTCTCAGTTCTACCCTCTTAGGTGCAGATTAAGTATCTAATAGCTTGAGGGATTGACATGGCATACCTTTTCCTACATTCTACCATTTGGATCTGGAGTGTCCCCCAGGGGCCCATGTGTTAAAGGTCTGGTCACCAGTCCATGGTGCTCTAGGAGGTGGTAAAACCTTTAGCAAGTGGGTCTGAGTGGGAGGTCTTCTGGTCATTGGGGCTACATCTTCAAAGGGCATCATGGGGCCCCAGTCTCCCCCCCCCTCTCTCTCATTTCTGGCCATGAAGTGAGCATCTTTGGTCTGCCATATACTCCCTGACATGCTATGCTGCCTCACTAGAGGCCATCCACAAAGTGGTCAGGTGATCATAGATGGAAACATCTAAAACTATGAGCCAAAGGACATCTTTTCTCTTTAAAAGTTGACTCTCTTAGGCATTTGCTACAGTAATGGAAAACCGACTAACACAAGCATACACCACAACTCCCTCTGAGCTCTGTTTCTCTTTTAGCTGTCAATCAGCATCCTCAGGTGAGGTGTTCTTCCAGGAGTCTTAAACCCCACTGAAGCCTTCCCCTGCTACTTGGAGGGCCCATCAAGAATTTCAAAGGTCCTCCATATTCAAAATAAGCCTCTAGAATATATGTCATGACCCTCCTATGTCCCTAAAGAATGGATGTGTAATTAGACCTAATAGACATTTTTTCATTTCAGCTTTTCCTGCTTCCTTTAGCCTTAGTTCTACTCTTCCCTCTATTCTTCAAGATATTTTTTCCCTCAATTCTTAGGAATTTGGAAACTCTCTTTTTTTTACAAAAATTGTTTTCTTCCTAGTGACTTTGAAGAATATTTCAATACATTCTTCTTCTATTTTGAGTAAAAATCAACTTTTTTTTCTGAGTTAAATTTTAGCTCTGATGATTTTTGTAGGGTGTATACAATCAGACTCTAACTGATTGGTAATTTTGCTCCCTGCAAGGTGGGTACAGGAGAAAGAACTTTACAACAAGTGAAGCCCAGATTCAGATCACAGCTCAAGTCATGACCACAGCAAATGACTGAGTGTCTTTAACTTCCATTGCCTGTTCTGTAAATTGATGATAATTACACCTGATGGTGTTCATTCTCAAAATGAAATGTCTGGAATGTTAAATGGAAGCCATTAGATTTTTACTAGCAGTGAAGGTTTGGATATAACAAATTGCAGATTTTAAATGTGCCACTTAAGTGATAAATACTAATGCTTATCCTCTACAGATGACTCTTAATTAGATAAACAAAATAAGACAACAAAAAATGAGATTATATGATCTTTGAAACTTAAATATCAAGGTGACCTGAAAATTTATAACACTTAGAAATAGTTCTGCTCTTAATGAGGGGTGCTTATCAGAATTGCAGAAAAGCTATTATTTTCATTTGCAAATATTTCCATTGATTCAGCTCAAAATTCCCTTAGCATTTATAATGTCATGTAATAACACATAAACAATTCTATAATATATTTAAGAATAAGCAGAAACAATAATGTTCAGGGTCATAGTGTCTTGGAATCTTTGCTCGCTGTTTAAATCATTCTATTTTTATTGTCCTGAAGATTCAAATGACAACTTGTTTGTCCACACAAGTAAGAGGGAAAAGTTTAATTCTTTAGAATTAAAGGATCTAATCAAGTGATGTAAAGTATCTGTTTATTAGAAAGGATGCTTTCCCCAAGAGGCACAATAAAAGTTACAAAAATTCCTAGCTCATATTAACACATGTGGATTTCTTTGAGATGGCGCCAGTGTCTCAGCCTGCAGCAGCCTATGATAAATTTGGCAGAACTAGCCACTGGCATGGCTTTATATGAGTACTCTTCTAAGTAATTATGCACAGTCCTGTACATTAAAACTAAGAGCAAAAGGCAAGCTTGGCAATATATTCAACTACCCTTCTTGGAAGTTTTATTTCCCTCCTTAAAAATGGGAAGTTTCAGAACTGGGAAATAATTGCATTTCCACTCATACCCCTGCTGCATAAGCAAAGCACTTTTTGAGTTTGGACTGCAAAGACTGCAAAGCAAGAATTAAGAA